ATTTTACAGATGAGCAAATTGGGCTTTAAAGAACTTGAGTAACGTGGTTTCAGGGCACAAAAAAACCTCCCTCTACCTCCGGATTCTTCAGAGGCTGGTTTGTTGGATGGATGAATGAACGGATTGACAACAGACAAAGATCATCAGGAGAAAAGCTACCACTCAGTAACATACGTATGGAACATCACCATGGCTATAAATTCTAAGAATAGGTGTTTTAAATTAAGGGACCTGAGGCCTCAGGGACAGAGGAGGGAGATTTCATAGGAGGAAGCAGAGATGATTCAGAGTCATGAAGAAATTAGCAGATATATGGGACGTATTTATAGGTAAACCTGCACCTGGATGATACCTCCCAAACCACATTCTCAAGACATTAAAAGGGAGGAGTGATCAGATCTTCAATAAGAAAAAGGCTTTAAAGAGTGATGACCTATCTTCAATTGGAAGGACTAAGTAACTCAAAGTAACTAAGTAACAAGCACTTCTTAGACCCCCTGACTTTCACTGCTGTCTACACTAAACTGTACTCTTTAAGAATCGGCAGCAGTTTCTCCCCAGTCCCACAGTCCTCCACTGACCTTAGTTCCACATACCAAGATGACATATTTTGGAAACACTGCCTCCGGACATCTGGGAAAAGCTTATCTAACCCTTCTGGAGGAGACCAATACCACAATGACAAGTACAAGATGTAGCTGTAGAAGATAGTAAGAAGCATAGCTTTTTAAAAATTGATTAGGGTTTAGGTAGTTACAACAGTGTTACTATTTGTGGCATCAGTATATGAAATGACTGCACCCCCCTCCACCATCAAGTGCCCATCACTGTCCCTGTGTCTCTTATGATCTTGTTTCCCCCCTTTCCCACTAATGGTTTTGTAATTGGCTTTGTAGTCCAATGTAAAGGGTTTGCCATTGTTCTGTACCACCTATTATAACTTGTTTTGACTCTCTAAATTCCACAGATGAGTGAGAACATTTGTCCCTCTCCCTCTGGTTTAATCACTTAACATGATACCCTCCAATTCCATCCAAGCTGCAGCAAACTGCATTTCATCTTTTCTATAGCTGCATTGAATTCCACCGTATAGAACACAACTGTATAGAAAACTGTATAGAACACTGTATAGAACACAACTGTATAGAACACTGTATAGAACACAACTTCTTGATTCATTCACTCACAGCTGGACATTTAGATTTTTTTCATATCCTGGCTATTGTACTAAGTCCTAAAATTTATATTTTACATTTTTAACTTCATATCATTTACATTTACACTTTCAAAACACATTCAGTTACATTACAGATTTTTGAAATCATATTAGGTAAGGTAGGTATAAAAAGTATTCCCATTTTACAGCTGGTCACTTGCATTTAAGTGACTCTTTAAGGCTGTTCATCCAGGATTATGGTACCATGCCCTTCTTACTATATGATATAAAACTTGGTTCATCTCTGACCACACCGTACCTTCTCCTATGTCTGGGCTGAGTGTAAATGGTACATCTTCCCCCAAAGTTAGGGATAGTACACTGGGTAAGGCACTTATCCTGCATAGGGGATCTGGGTTAGATTTCCAGCACCACCTAAGGTTCCCAAAGCACTACCAGGAGCTGTCACTAAGCACAGAACTGGGTTTAAGCTCTGAGCACAGTCGGGTGTGGCTCCAAACTAAAAACAAACAAAAACCTTTTATCAAGGGAAATTTCCAGTATTTATAATAATGTGGTATACTGAAAGTCCATGTATGTACCACCCAACAATTATCAACTCATGGCCAATCTTGTTTCCTCTGGGCCCCACCCACTCTTCCATCTTTCAAATGACTGGGAGGCCACAAACATGAAATCATTTTATCCATATATATTTAAACTAAATGGTGAGTAAACAAATTATTCAAAGGCATACCCAATTGGTACTATTAATAATATACTCATAAGTAGGGTCATTTCTTTAGCTCAGTGGGAGAAGTAAGAACTTTTATGCTCACAATGACCTTATTCATGATGATGGGGGCATATTACACAGTATCTCTCCTGGTCTGTAACATAATCCCCAACACTTAATCACTCTGGACAGGGTGATAGGAATTCAAGCAGAGATAAGATAAGCACAACCTTTTCTATTGACTCAGAAAAGTGGGTGTAAAGTGTTCATGATCTTGAATGAAAAGAACATGCCTGCATCTGTAAATAATTGCCAGATTCCTTTTTCTTTCACCCAAGTCATCAAATCAGCCATGTCATAAGGTCAACTGCCCCAGCTGAGTAGAAGACCAGTTGGGGCCTCACCTACCAAATACTGTTACATGAGATCCAATTTGTGAGTCTGCAAAATCCAAACAGTAAGCTTAAGTCTCAAAGGAAACTTCCTTCCTTAAACATAAATCTTGGACACAAATCCATCCCCAACACCAACATGATGAGAACCATGGTGTACACTAGTAAACAATCAGTGCAGTCCTCAACCAGGTCGTGCAGTCACAGAGAAGACCCATATATCTATGCAACTAACAGGGAGTGGAGGGACTTTTAAATTCTCAAGAAGCCATAGAAGCGGTCTGCATCTGGTAAAGCTGGCTAGGAAGTTTACATTTTCCCTTGAGGTTTCTCAGTGAGAAATGGGCTATAGGAATTGTCAGCACATGGTTTCATACAGCCAACGTTCTGTGTGCAAATCAAGAAATACACACGTACACACATGTATAAATATCGCTCTGACAAAGTTAGCATGTCACATTACCAAGACCAACATAATAACCTCTCTGTTTCACAAAGATGTAGTGAAACATAAAATTGCTATATTTCAATTCTGTCGTATTACCCCAGTGGGATCTGAGCAAGCCTCGTGGAGCAGAGATCAGTAGCCAAGTGGGTGGGTGGAAGCTGAGTTCAGGCAGAGAAAACTGCTGTGACCAAGGTCCCAGGGGGAGGAGGAGGCACTGCATGTCATGTCTGAGAGAGAGAAGTGGCCGGGTGGAGTAAGTTATAGACAGAATGCCACTGGGTCACTCCAACTCATGCAGTCTCGGAGCACTTTTACTTTGGTTCTCAGGGAATCTCTGTAGGTGTGTAAGGAGAGGAGTGGCAGGATATGACTTGGCTTTAAAGTTCTTCCCTGGCTCTGCTGGTGAGCTCAGACTGCATGTGGGAAGCAGAGAAGACCGGGAAAGGTCACTACAGGGATGGTCGAGAGCAGGAGGTGCAGCGAGGCAAAGAATCAAGATGATAGGGATATGGGAGAGGAGAGAGAAAAGTGTGGAAAAAACCCAGGACTCTGATCCAGAGCAATGGGAGGCACACGGGCACTGCTTTCATCTGAAGTAGGGTGGGCAGAGGACACAGCAATTTGCGGGAGGTGGTGGTGTGTTCGGGTCTGAGTAAGCTCATAAGAACTGGAGAACTTCCAGTGGAGATGGTCAGATCATCAGCTGAACATGTGAACACTCAACCTGGGTGTATTATACTGGACACTGATATGGCTAGTAATGATCACCTAATTTGTCCTTAGCGGTTAAAGGTGACTAGTGAAAAACCAGGCAGTGTCCTTCCACACAGAGGAGATGGAGAATCAAAAGCCAAAAGAATGCCAGAGGTGATTGGGCATGCTTATTTCAAGCACTCAAATAACAGAAATACAAGGTGCCTTCACCTTGTCTTCTCAAGATGCGGATTTGAGCTTTGGTGGCTCAACACAGCAATCTGCAAGGAAATCAAGAAAACCAAAAATGAGCTCAGAAGTTGAGAAAGTTACTAGATGGTTTTCCCATCTTAAGAAACACTACAAAATCCCTGAAAGTAACAATGTTGGCTAAGAGGAGTTCTGACAAAATAAGAGCTTAAATTAAACAGTCTACAGTTTCAAAGTATCTGCCCTTTCTACGGTATTCATCTCTGAGGGTTTGAAGTGTCCAAAAGTTTTCTTTTCAGATGCCGTTTCTATGACACTGGACAAGGCTATTGCAGGGAGTGGGCGGCGGGGAAGGGCAGGAAGTTCTACAGCTGCAAAAGATGATGCAACTTTAAAAAATTCATCGCCCCCAAATGGGCAAAACAGAGGAGGCACCTGATAAATGCGTGTTAACTAAACCAGCATCAGTGATGCTGCCAAGGCCCCCTCCTCCAAGTCCATTGGCACCGATGGCAAAGCAAAAAACTTCAGCACTAAATCCAATTAACATACATTCCCTCAGCACAGCACGAGATCAGCTTATTACAATCTGGAAATTTCCACAGTATTTATCAGATCCTAAGCAAGGCTATGGTGCTTAGCAGTGTACCACAGCAGACGTCACCATCAGCCACAAGCGCCATGGCTCTGGGTATGTTGCCACGGCAACCGCGGACTCAGCAGCAACATTGAGCCTCTTGCCAACCCAGATCCAGAGGCAGAGAAAAGCAGCCAGTTTCCAGTTTCCTGATGGTAACAACCCAGGGAGGCACAGCATGAGACACCTCCATCATTCACACCCGCGGGAGGCTTTCCTTTCTATAATCTGAAATTGTTCCCGCCAAACCTCTGGAGAAAGAAAAACCAATCACTTTGGTCTGAAGCGGAGCCCATCCACACCCCAGGGCCTCAAAAGCTCTAGAGAACTGTGTGAGAGGAGGAGACAGAGAACTGTGTGAGAGGAGAGGGAGAACTGTGTGAGAGGAGGAGAGACATTGGCTGGAGCTGGGAAAAGTGTCCAGGTCACGTGTTTGGGAGTTGGATCCAGACAGGAGGGTTTTTTTTCTGGGGAGGAAATGGATCCCTGCCAGCCCATTTGAAAAAGTCCTTCTGAGAAACATTCCTAAGCAAGGAGATCAGTAGGGAATGGAGCAGGCAAGAGGAGCTCGCGCCTTTTGCCTTTCGAGGGAAGCTGTTCCCACACAGAGGTGGGGGGAGGGCTAGCAAGTGACGACAATGCCACTCTCCACTCCCCACCAAAAAAAAAAAGGCACAGGAAGTCTTTTGGATACCTCCACATTATGTGGCAGAAACTGTGGTACGTACCTTTTCCACTGCTAGAAAGTCATTTTCTACTTCAATCGATCTTGGTCTGAGTTTTATTGGCTTGTCTTTGAAAATATCTCCGAAGCCCACGCCTTTCACTTTCTTCGGCTGGATGGCTGCTGTGATGACCGTCCCATTGGCGCCTTCCGATTTGGTACTGCTTGAGTCGCCCCCGTCACTTTCGGAGCCGGTGGTTTCCCTTAAACCTATCAAAAGGGGCAGGGGGAAGAGAAAGAGCTCAGAAGCCAGCCATGGCGTGGCCAGCACCTCCAAGCCATCGGGGAGGGCTCTTTATAAATGGCCCCGGGTACAGGAGCACCTGTGCTGGAGACTGAATTCTGTGTGTTGTGCTTGGATGACTTTGCATTCTGTTTGATTTCCCCACCTTTGACGGTCCCTTGTAAGAGCTGAGTCAGCAGCACGTTTTCAAAGATTCCATTTCAAGCAGATCTCTTTGTGCCTGTGAAATTTCCCCTCTCATCTGCCTCATTCTGGTTTCTATTTTGTTTGTCTGTCCCACTGTGAAGCAGGGGTCAAGACCACTGATGTGCCCAATAATAACAGCCCTGTCTGCAGCCCCTCACCTCCATGCCTAATCCAGTACCATACACAGGACCTCCAGCCTCTATGACTCACGTCAATTAGCAATTAGCAAGGAAAGTCATATTTCCTAAAGGGAAACTGTAAAGCTAAAAGCCATTTTAACAAATTAGCAATTAAAGGAACCACACAAAATGATGGCTGCCAAAGACATAAATCTCTTTGGACAGCTTCAGGAGAAATAAATGCATGGAGACGATTTCTCTAGGAAAGCATTAAACCAAACTTGACATTGAGAGGCTGGGAAGATGATTTTGTTTGTTAAAGGGGCAAGGAAGCTGCCCTCCCAAGGGCCAGAACGGCTTCTTCATCCCTCTTTAAAACCATTAGCTCCACACAGCAGAAGTCCTTTCCAAAGAAGAACATTGGAGGCATGAAATTTCCTTCGACCTCTCATGGCATGTGCTAAGTCATCACAGAGCTAACACCAAGGCAACCTGGTCACTTACCTCCCTAGATTCCTTTTCTCCCCAGGCTTAGCCCACAATCATGCTCCTAAAAAGAAGAGCCTATTTGTTTCTAGTCCATTTCCGGGTGTACATTCTTTCTCTGACGGTCAGCTCATCCATCATCCCATCAAAGGGCAGGCTTCAGTGGCTATTTTATGGAATACATTAAACCTTCCTCTAAAGCCTCTAGACATGGAGGCTAGCTCCTCAACATTTACTATATATCTCCTCTGACAACAATGCCCTTGGGATGAAAGTACACCAACAAATTTTGTTCCCTATCAGCCACTCAAGAAGCAACAGCTCTCCATAGGTAAGGTGGCTTCCTGCTACCTAAGAATGATGCACCAAATAGCTTCTCACATAAAATGTCATAAAATGTTTAAGGCATTCAAATTGAGAAGCCTCAGTGCCAGGAAGAAACTGTTCAAGGAAAATATGAACCCTCCCCCCCCAAAAAAATGGAACGGTCATTGTAAATTGCTAAAAAATATCAAACTCTTAAAATAATGGCTGTGCTAGCTGTGGTCACTGTTTTCAATAAAATGGTGCTTATAAGAAAACAAAAAGTCTGGGGGATCTTTGTATATGTTTTAATTAACTACAGAAAAGCATTTGTGAGCAAAAATAAAGGGCAGGAACCTCCCATAATAAGGGGGTCCACTTGATATACAGGGCCAGGCAGGAGTGTGCAGACACCGAGAAGCCCCCAGATTAGCCCCATTTGTGTATTTATTTGTTCATTGTTTTTGGAAATATCCCTGCTGGAGATATAATTTTGGAGTCTAAATATTGTGTCATTTCCCCTTGAACATGTTCTCATTTTGCCGTATGGATTCCTTCTATGTGATAAATGGCTTGTATATTCTTTCCTGGGGTGGAAAGAACCATTTAAGAGTGGAATAAAGAAACGGTTACTGGAAAACACCATCACTGCCCTCCTCCCGACCCTCTCACTCCCACCCTACCAGAAGGCAGCAGAGCAAATAGATTAGGGCAAAACTGTTTTAGTTCATCAAAGAGAGAAATTTGGAAGGTTTCTTTTTGCATTCCTCATTAGCTAGAACCATAATATTTTCAACTACTGTCAACCTGATTTCACTGAACTCTGGTTTCTGGGATTTGCTGCCTTCCAGGCTCACCTTAATAACTTTATATTAATCACTGTGAGAAATGCTCTTTTTGTTACACAGGGAGAGGTTGCAAAGTCATTCAACCACACAAGCATTGGCTAGGAAGGAAACACATGGCAGATTTTTCTTCCAGAATTTCTGGCAGGCTGCATCTATCACTTTAAGTGTGTAAATTAAACATCTGAGTATCTGTGTTCGTGAAAGAACTCAAAATTGAACTCCTTCCCTTTGGAGGAAAAGAAGAGGGACTTTTCATTTTCATTTCTGTTAGGTACTGTACCTTTTAGTTACTGGTGCCCATCACACACACTATTGTGCTATATGCCCATCAGGCTAGGTGACACCTCCAGGCAGTACCAGCCACACTATAGTCTGTTGCCTGGTACACAGTCTGGCACACTGTGACAGGTCTACTTGTTACTGGCACACTGAACTGAATGCAAAAAGTTCGAGTGTTTGGAAAGGCTGAGAGCACTGTGCCTGGAGCAATATCCAGATATATGGACTGCCAAGGTGAATAGGGCATAGTCTCAGCTGTCAAATCACCAGTGGCAGGCACTGACATGCACTGCAGGCCTAACCCAAGTCTTGACCAGCATGCCTACACATTTGTCTCTAGTGAAAGGGAAATCAAAATAAGTTTGAGAGGCACGGGTGATGTGAGCTCACACCTGCTCCTTCTCCTCTGTCGTCTCTGTACACACATTCGTGCATGTGGACATGCACACCATGGAATGGTTTTCTTCAAATCTGCTTGATGCACTCAGGTGTAATTTCCTTTAAGATTCCAGAACTGATCAGTTCATATTCATGGGATTTTTTTCTCCCTGGTGGGTAGGCCACATGTGTTGTGCTCAGGGGCTTTTCCTGACTCTGTTCAGGAGAGGCCCTTGTGGTGCTAGGGGCCATATGTGGTATTGGGGACCAAAAGGGGGCAGATCACATGCAAAGGCAAGTGCCTTTCCCCCGAATTATATCTCTAGCCCCTCCACTGGCCATTTTTATTTATTCTTAATTAATACTCACAAGTATCATGCTTAAAAACATGTCAAGAACTCTTCTAAGGACTTGAAAAGATTCATTCATTAATCTCATCCATTTCCTTCCCCTCAACTTTTGGCAGCCTCATTTCACAATACTAAAGGTTACACATTGGTCCTGCCAAAAGAAGTCAGCTGTGTGGTGATTGGCTGAATGAGCAAAGCAGAGAGTCATTTCTGGCATGGACTTTCAGCTCCAATTCTTATTTCTTTGAACCACGCAAAGCAGAAATGGCCCAGGCAGAAAAAGCGGCAATCCCAAGAACTGGCCTCCCTATGGGAAGCCACGTTTCAGCACCCAGAAGCCCACAGATTCAGGTACAATACAGATGCCATGATCAAGGCCACTGACCCCACCTGCACGCATGATTCATGCCCACGTGTCACATACATGAGAACAGCACAAAGCAAACAAGGAAGCGCCAGGGCTGGGTGAGAATGCTCCCGCAGCACATGCCAAGGAGACAGCAACTTATGTCATGGTCAATAAGGCCATGTCCTTGGCTTGGGAAGTCACACAACACTAGGCAGAAGCACAAGCAGCTTAGGAAAGTGCCGCTGCATCAAAAAACACAAGTACCCAGATCTTATCTTTACAATTGCCTCCTGCTGTTAAGGTCACTCACTGTAATAACGTCTGTGGCCCTCCGTCTTTCCCGATGTGGCTCGATACAGAATTGTCCCTTCAAAGGTAGTCTTTCCTGACAGTGAATGAGAGAAGAGAAAGGGAAAGAAAAACAAGAGGAGGGAGGGGAGCAAATGATGGCAAAAGAAGGAAGAGGAAGAATCTTTAACTGAACTTGCTTTTAATGAATCCACTGCAAGAATTTCATCCACAAAATTAATGAGAGATTAGAGGACAGAATATAAGACTGTTACAAAAGGCACCCAAAGTTCCCAGGCAACCCTGTGTCAATGAGCCCCTGAGAATGACTGGCATGTAGACCAGGCCCATTTTACACCTGGGAGTCAGATCAACAGTAACAACTCTGGCTTAGGTAAACCTCAATTAACCAGAAGAAATCCAATTAATCAGATTCCTTAGATAACACAATTGTATAGCACACTCTTTCCTTTGGAGAGTTGGACTCAAGCATTATACAGACTCAGGTTCATTATCTTTTATCTTTTAACCCCTGGAGTCCTCTAGGATATAGACTGCTATTCATATGCTTCATTAAAATCATATAGCAATGTTCCCAAGATTCCAAACAATGCATAGGATTTGCTTTAGGAGATTTTATCATCTTTAAACTTAAAGCAAGAAAATGTACTCATACAGTAGGGGCAGGGAATCCATAAATGAGATTTTAAACCAATAGTGGTGTTCATTTTGACAGAAGGGGATTTCTGCTTAGCTCTGAGGACACCAGAAAACCATATTTCTTGAAACAACTTAATTGAGGTTTTACCATATTAGTCCCGAGACAGGAGGCCACAGGACGTGCCCACTGTCAAATGAGTTCTTTTTCATTTTTATCAATAGCATAAGACTAGATGTACAATAAAGCCCAAATTTCTCTAAATCCTTGAGTAAGTACAGAGAAATCTCTCTAGAGTTGTGAGAAAGTATACAGAATAACATTATACTGATCCAGTTTGAGTACAATATACATACGCATGCACACACACTCACTTGTTCATGCATACCCTAGAGAGAGTACCAGCAGCAGGTAAGACAGTTTGCTAAAAGAAGAGTCATTGATACATGCAATTCTTTCAGTTACATATTATTATGGCTTGTGAGCTAAATATCAAACCAGAAGATAGCAATATCATTTCACAGTGTGAAAGTGTGGGCTGGGAAGTATCTCTACAGTGACAGATGGACAGAGAGTGGAAGTGAAAGGAGAGCAACTTATGGCACTTCTTAGGAATACCCCCATAGGACAATAGGAAACCCCAATAGGAACCAGAGCTCCAGTGTCTGGGCCATGTCACTTCTAATAAGGAACTGGAACTGTGAACGAGCAGGAAAACAACTTAAATAAAATCAGGTTTCTCCAATGGGGGGGGGGGTGTCCTACAGGAATGACAGCATAGGCTGACCTTGAAATCTACCCTTCTTTACAGATGTGCTGTCTCATTGAAGCAAAACCTCAGATGTTCATATCACTAGCTACATCCAGGTGTCCAAAGAAATGACAAAGCACTTCAAATGTTCTTGTGAGATGTGCAGTTCTTGGGGACTTTGACGACAAACAAATGCAGGACATGTGGCAGCAGCTACTTTTTATTGGGGATTTTTTTTCCTTATGCTTAACTGGGCCCGCCTGAGCAAATTGATGAACAACAAGAGGAGAGTGCTACAGTGCTACAGAGGCTTAACTTGAGTCCTTAAAGGGTTACATTACTCCTAAAAACACTCCCACTTGTGAGCAAGCCCTTCAAAGCTGAACAACTAAGTCTTCACAGTGGAAAAAAAATAGTGAGAGTGGGGAAAAAGCAACTGGCATTTTGAGAACGACCCTCCAAATACAACAGAACCTCCATGTGATCTTCCCCAGGACAGAGTTTGGGACTCACTGCCCTAGACTCTGGGAGGCCAGGAGTTTCTGCAACGTCTCCCTGAAACCTTGGAAGCGAGGCAATTTGAGCTGTAGCCCAGGAAAGGGGCTTTAAGAGGACACACACATATTCTAGCTCAAGAACAAAAGAGACAGGCAATTGGCAAGTTCATGCATATGAATGTTTGTTTTACTGGAAAAAAACACGCTTCTGTCACTATTAAATATTAGTACTTGAAAGCAGAAGATTCTGCAAAAAAAGGATTTTAAAAATTCAACACAAAAGCATATGCTTCAGCTGATAACTAATTTTGCCGGAACACTGATTCCTCAATTTGCTAAGTGCTCGTCACTGCTAATAGAGCAATTTGATTTAGTGAGGCCACCAAGTGGGGGTTTGTCAGTCTGCTTTTGGTTTATGTAAGTGAGGGGCACTAAGCAATCCATTTCCTATAGATTATGATAAAAATTATTCTTACATTGTGGAAGTGGATTGTCACACATTTTATTATTTTTGTTTGGTTTGGTCCTGTCTAATTGTATTTTTGTTGTTATTGTTGTGGTTTTTTTGATTTGGAGTCACAGTCTGTGGTGCTCAGAGCTTTCTCCCGGCTCTGAACTCAAGATTCCAAGCAGGCCTCAGGGGACTATAAGGGGTGCTGAGGATTGAACCTTGATCATCTTGTACAAGGCAAGCATCATACCCACTGTACTATCTGTTCTTTTCCAGGCCCGGGCCATACATTTTAAAGGGTCATTTCTACCTTTGTCTAAGCTCCACAGTGCTCTAAAGCATTAGAACCTAAAATTCCAAATTCTGGAATTAGAAAGATAAGAAAGTCAATTCAGGCTGAAAGTTCATGCTTAGTAAGAATTGTAGAGAGAAAATATAATCCTCCTTCTGAAGATTATGGAAAACAGAAAAGTGCTTCTGTAGCTATATGATTGATAAAAGCATGCTTTTAGTTTTAAAAGAGTTATTTTACAACCAATAACTTAAAAATAATATCAAAAGGTTGCTAAAATAGCAAGGATACTTTTATATCTCAAATGTAAAACAAAATATCTATGAAACTGACATTGGACAATGGTTGCATTTGGATTTATTTGCCTCTAAGACCAAATAAATCTTAGCAATTCAGGATATCCTCTGACTATAACATCTGATAAGTTCTATTTCACAATTGAGTCAACACTACCATGTGTAAATTTGTAACTGCAAAGATAATTGATTATCTATGATCTGTGGTAAGAAATAATAAACTCAACTGTACTTGGGTTTGAAGCTTGTCAGGATCTTTGAAGGGGTGAACAAGAGGCCATAATGAAAACCACACCCAAGCTGTGGGTGGGTAGGCCTGCAGAAAACTGGGGTCTCGTCACTCACATGACAGGTTATACCCAGGGCTTTGTTTCAACTGGGCTTTCATGCTCTCACCAGAAATAAGGCTAGATGATCTCTAAATTTCTTTCCTTCCCTAACATAGATTCTGTCTGCCTATTACTGCAATTGCTTGGATGTTCTGTTTTGTAAAACCCTAATTCACTCTCATGCCCACCCACACTATTGATCAGTTACATGGGGGCCCATTTCATTCCTTTAAAAAAACTCTTTGCCGGTCCCATTTGGAAAGCCCTGATGAGTACACAGATTGAAGAGATAATACTCAGTGGCTTCTAACATTCAAAAAAAGAGACAGACATTGTGAGCTTCTAGATGGACTGCACAGCACCACCTATAAAGCAGTGTGAAATCCATAAAGCAAAACGAGCCCCTGGAAATAATGACCAGTTAATTTATAGAGTAAATGACAGCAGATAAAAGGCTGTGGAGGGGCTGAAGAGATAGCACAGCGGTAGGGCACTTGCCTCACACATGGCCAACCCAGATTCGATCCCCAGCATCCAATATGGTCCCCCGAGCCCGGCAGGAGTCATTCCTGAGTGCAGAGTCAGGAATAACTGCTGAGCACAGCTGGATGTGCCCCTGCCCCCAAACAAACAAAAGGCAGTAGAAGGCTAATGGACAAAACACTTCAGTTTCTGCAGCAAAAAAATTACAAGGGGAAATGGGACACAGAGGCAAATGAAAACATGGAGAATGCTAAGGATTCAGGGACATAGCCACCAACTATGATGTGTCTTCTGGGATGCAGACTCAAACTAACACATTATATTTAAAAATAGAAGACTAGAGCCAGACAGATCATACGGGAGCTAAGGCACTTTCCTTGCATATGGCTGACCCTGGTATACTACATATGGTCCCTTGAGCAATCACAGAGCTCGCTCCTGAGCACAAAGTCAAGAATAGCCCTTGAACACTGCTTGGGGCACCACTTTCCCCAATATACAAGACTAATTTAGGAAAGTGAACAGTATCAACAGATGTAATTAAACTGAGGAATTTCTTCTTCTTATATTATTATTATTGATGTTATATTAATATTATTACTATCTTATTATATTATTAATGATAGATATTAATTTGATATACAGTATAGTATTTATGAATTAAATTCTATATCTGGAGTTTACTTCTAAATATGGGGGAGGTTGATGCATTGATCTAATGATAAGGAATTGAATCTACAATTGCTAAAACCGGCCTATGGAAATAGGGTTCAGTGTATTATTTTGTTGTTGACTTGTGTATATGTTATAAACTGTCCATAAAGAAAAATTTTATTGAAATAATTTTGATGGTACATTCCAGCTCCAGGATTGCCTGTATTCCAACTTGAGATGTGTAAGTCCTTTACTTTACTTCATGGGGCTTCCTCTTCTCTCTTCTTCTCACTTACATTTTCTGAATAAAAGTACTCTGTTTCAAACACACTCAAAATATCTTTTTGAAAATGCACCTTTAAGACGCCATGGATTCTGTACAAGGTAATATTTTCAAACGAAAACATACAACCAAAATTTTCTGCTACTAAATAACAATGAATTTTCTTATTTGGGAATATCAATCAATAGAATTACTTTCCTTGATATGCTAGATCACACTGAATGACGACCTAAAGTTTAGAGATTCTTTTTTTTTATTACTATCACCATATGTAAAATACATTAGGGTGAAAAAAAGCAAGTTCTAGCAATTTGCACCTGTCAATCAAAGATAAAAATGCCTCTTCAGAGTAAGAAAGGATTTGGCAAGCATTTATCAAATACCTAACATGTTTCAAGCTGTCAGTACACTTCCTTATAAATATAGTGCAATGCTTTGCCTATCAACTATCATCCATTGGTTGATGAAATTCAAGTGAATAACTATCTTCACATTCTTTCTGGAAGTAGAAATGTGAGCAGAAGTACCAAATAAGTATTTCCACATCCAGGAGAAAGGGTAATTGGGTGAGGGTGGGGGCATAACAATGTAATGTATGCATACATACTATGTACAAGTTTCTTTATGTGTTAAAGGACAAAGATTTTTCTCTGTCTTCAAAAGCTTCACACCAATGCTGGCAGGTATAGTGTTGGAAAGTTGCATACACAAAACCCTACCATCAACAGTATCATAAAACTGTGAACCATTATGGTTAAAATAAAATTACATTGAAATTTTTTTGTACAGGTCCTTTACTTCCTTAGTTGATTCCTAGGTACTCGATTTTCTGGGGCACAATTGTGAATGGAATTGTTTTCTTCATGTCACTTTCTTCTCTATCACTATTTGCGTATAGGAAAGCCATGGACTTTTGGGTATTGATTTTATAGCCTGCAACTTTGCTATACAAGTCTATGGTTTCTAGGAGTTTCTTGGTAGAGGTTTTAGGGTTCTCTAAGTATAGTATCATATCATCTGCAAATAGAGGGATACTGGGACCCGTCGTGGTGGAAAATGGGCACTGCTGGAGGGATGGGTGTTTGATCATTGTACAATTGAAACCCAAGCACGAAAATTTGTCAATCTACAACTGTACCTCATGGTATTTCACTAACAAAAATTTTTAAAAAATGTAAATGATGAAGAATGGGCACTGGTGGGGGGATGGGTACTGGATCATTGTATAACTGAAACCCAAGCACAAAAATTTGTAAGTCTACAAATGTACCTCATGGTGTTTCACTAATAAAAATTTTAAAAAATTACATTGAAAACCTTCAATCTAATATCTGGCAGCAATTAAATTAAAAGAGGTTATATCTTGGGGGGCTACACTGGTGGTATGCAGGGTTTCTTCTCGGCTATGTGTTCAGGGATCACTATGGGTGTACCGGGGGGACCATATGGGGTGCTGAGGATCAAACCTAGGTTGACAGAGTACAAGGCAAATATCCTACCTGCTGTACTATTCTCGAGATCACAAGGGGTTTCTATATAATGAGTCAGTAGGGTATCTAAAATGGCACAAATGGTAGTTTAACTTACTCCCAATGCCTTAGATTAATTAAGCAATCAGCGCAAACTAATGGGCATGAAGTGAGCTGGTCTGAAGGCCTTGCTTAAGTACAGTTTAGCCCAGAATTCTTCAATCTTTTCACAACAACAAACTGGCACCTGTCCTTTAGACTGGTCCATGGTCTGGCAGTTAAAACCCACAAGGCAGATCAGTGGCTTTCAACCTTCTTCTGCCTACAAACTTGAACCAGTCTGTGGACCAGTGGTTGAAAACCACTGGAAACTTCAGCTCACATCTGTGTAAAACACTGGATGTCTTTTGTGTATTAACTACATTTCTCTCTCGACTCTATGATTAAATATGCATTTACCGCAGTTAACAACAAGAAGTTATCCCTGGAAACTGCACAAAGGGTATGTAAGACCTCTAATATATTTTGTGAGGGTCCACACCCAGAAGTGCTCAGGACTTCCTTCTGGCTCCACACTCAGGAATCATTCCTGGTGGGGCTCATAAGGCCATATGTGGTACCAGGGAATGCACCTGGGTCAGTTTCAATGACCTAAGCAGTGAGTGCCCTATCCATTGTACTATCTCTCCACCCTCTTCATACTTTTCTCATTGCAACTTTCTGTGAATATAGTTTGTTCAAAATAAAACCGATTATTTTAATTAAAGTACATTGAAATAAAAAACATTCTCAAGATGAGAACTGAGATTTCTTTTAAGATCAAAAGTTCTGCTCAAACAAGGCCTATGGGTATACATACCCGCCTGTTCCTTGAACACCTTCTTGCAGAATACCTGGGGTATTTCCCCAAGCTTCTGTGGATTTGTGAGCCCCCTTTCAATAATGTGAGCTTCTTGAAGGCATAGACTCTGTTTACTTGTTTCTGTATACCTTATTATTATTATTATTATTATTATCATTATTTGCTTTTATGGGGTCACACCTGGCGGTGCACAGGCATTACTCCTGGCTCTACACTCAGGAGTTACTCCTGGTGGTACTCAGGGGACCATATGGGATGGTGGGAATCGAACCCTGGTCAGCCACGTGCAAGGCAAATGCCCTACCCACTGTGCTATCACTCCAGCTCCTGTTTTTGTATATCTTCAGTGCACTGTGCAGTATCTTGGTAGTGATGAAAAAAATAGAAGAAGGAGGAAGGAAGGGAGAGAAAGAAGAGATTGAGAGATAAAGAGATGGCTCTCGATTCCTTCACTGTGCACAAGGAAGATTTCAAAAGCCACATATGCCCTAGTCTCCAGAAGCCCCCATTCATTAGGAGATAATGTCCCTCCAAGTACCTCAAACCCTCCTGGATATGGACAGATCACATGGTAACTCAACATGCATGCTAAAACTACTGTGCTTCTTTGATTCTGAAAATCAAAGGGTTTTTGGCAGAATGAGTGTTTGGGAGGATAAGCCTCTACAAGAGGGAGCACACCTCCTCTCGTGCAAAGGACGGTTGAGTAACTGGGGACACAACTACACTAAGCTTCTTGCCTCCTACTCTGGAATCCCAGCACCTTACACCTTCAGCTGAGGGCTCACGCAGGTCACATGCCCTTGGTATTGACTAAGAGGACATTTCTTTTAAAAGGTCCAAAAATACAAGAGGCTTTTCGTTTTCTGATCTTCCAGGTAGAAGACCACAGTTATAATGGCAGGAAACCAACAGGCCAAGCTACCCATCCCAAAGAGGCTGCCCACTACCTCCCCAGCTCCTCTTTCCTCCATCAGTAGAGGAATTTCGATTTCTAAATGCACAGAGAGCGCATCAGTGAACACTGTTCCAGCCAGCATGTGAGCAGCTCCCACCTTCTAAAGGGTTTTGTCCTAAGAGCTCGTCATGATTAACAATGAAAAGAGAGCCTTTCTAGAGGGCCCTCTGTGAGTGAAGTGGTTTTATACACGAACGCAACTGGAACTCATCATCCATCTCCTCGCAGAAATAACATTCTAATAACCAATTTGATCCTCCTGGCACAAATGGCCACTTATTACATACCATTCCTGGGGTATCTTAGCTCCTGTTATTATAAGAGATAATTACCAGGTACAATACCAGGACGCTTAGAATTCCGATATGCAGTTTGGACACCACACATCAAGAACACCTTCCACTTCCCAGCTGGACCCAGTTGGCCCATGTTAGCAGAGAACCCCTTGCCCCAAGCTAGTGAAAGAGAATAGGCACCCCAAGTGTTCCAGTTCCTCCCAAATAATCTTCCATCTTTCCTACCACAGAACCACGCCATGAGGATGAAGAGCGCCACGCACTGGCAGTAGAGAAAAAGGTAACAGCAGAAGCCAAACAGCCAGAGCTGGTATTTCTCTGAATGACCACCAGGATACCAAGTAAAGGAGGTTTCCTGACCACTCTCTGGAAGTGCTTTACCTGCCAACTCAGAATTGATCCAATCATGTGACTGGTTAAATAGAAGGCACAACTGGAAAACACATCTCAGGTCTGGGTTTTCCAAATGGAGACGACATTTAAGAATAATTTAGACAGAAGGGAAGTGGGCAATACCAGGTCGTGCCACCCCCATGACACAGTTGATTTTCTAATAGTATTCCCATCCATGACCTGACCTCAGGACTCAGGGCAGTACAAGAGATACATAGGTATCCATGTAAGGAAGTTGGGTCAGCGATGAGGGGAACAAAGCCTCCTGGTTCTGATCTTTGGCTCCAGGAGCTGGGACGGGCAGCGGAGAAGCTGGAGAGAGGAAAGCTTCAGGTCCTAGAGAGAGAAACCCTGGGGGTCATTCTTCACACAGCAGAGGGGGCCCATGCTCCCCTACACTGGAGCCAGACTCTATTTTCACCCTACATGTAACAGGAGCTGTTGCACACTTACTTGATCTAGGAAAGTTCTATTAACCCAACCCCTTTTCACCAAGTCCCTTAAAGGATGCTAAGAAATATTAACAATCTCACTTGGTATGCTGTAAAAGTCATTATCATCTATGCTATTACCAGCATGAAGGCATTCATCACCTAGGCAGCGATGTACAGAACACGTGTGCAGGTCACACCTTGGTAATGAGAAATCCACTGGACCACAATGGGTTGCGGCAACCTACGAAAAGACCCATGCGCACTGCAGCACCACTCACTCGGCACAGGATATAGGCTATGGAACCAAGGGGAATCTGGAACAGAGTCCACTGGTACCCCATCCCTTTCCTACGTGGTCGGGGGTGGGAGGTTTCCTTACTTGATTTGGACAGCTGCTCATCCTGGGACATGCCGAGGTCATCAGACTCCCCCGACAGTTCCTTGATGAAGTTGGAAGGAAACATTCCCGTCTTGCCATTGAGAACGCCTTCCCACCATCCTTCTTCTACCTGCAGGATAAACAGGAGACAGAGATGGGGGTCAGGGGAGAGATGACTGCTCCCAACCTTCCCTCTGAGGTGCAGAATGTCGAACCCACACAGGAAGAGCAGAAGACTGCAACACTGAAAAGATAACCGGGGAATAGAAAAAAACCTCATAAACTTGGGGGCTTGGACTCAGAAAGAAGAGTGATTATCCTGGGGTCTATAAACACAAAGGAAAAATAAGAATCACTTAATTTTCTCTGGCCTTGAACTGAAATTGGGCATTTCCTTTGTTTACATGCATACGTGGCACACCATACAATGAGTAGAAGGTTCTGTGACCCCTGAGAAAACAAACCCAGGGTTTGGGCACAGCACATCACAGGTACTACGGGTGTCTTAAGAGATCTTTTAGACTCACCATTATGTTGAAGTGGTGACAGTGGGCACACCTGATAAGAGACCTGGTTATTTAATGTACAGCAAGTAATAACTTATTACTTATGATGAGAAATGCTATATAGCTTTCTATATTAAAAATCAATTTAAAAGCTAGACCAGGGAAATAGCTCAAAGGGCTGTGGTACAAATCTTGTGTGCTTGAGGCCCCAAATTTGAACCTTATCACTGAACAGCCCCCCCTCTTGTACTGTCTGTATGAGTGTGGTGGCCCCAGCATCATTCAGAGTCATAACTATTGGTCCAGGTCACAAGGAGAGGCCCCAGTTTCCCAAATACAGCTGGGAACTCCCCCCCCCCCACAAGGAGCCTCATAGCCACTTCAATATAAATGATTCCCATTAGAATCATGTTTTACTGTATACATTTAAAACTTTATTTTGCACATAAAAGAATGACTTCCTCAGATCATTAAAAATAACTAGACAGCCTGACAAAAACAGTTAAGAATCCCTGGGCTAAGAACTGAATCAAAAGGCTGAAGGACTCCCAACAGGTTTCTAAAGGGTTCTAAAATGCCCTAAGATGAACCCAACTGGGGGATACAGGCAGGTCAACTAAATCGTTTGGGTGGAATAAAGGCTGGATCTTGGGTAACAGTGAGACCGAATTGGGCAGGCATGGATTTGAGACCCTTTGCAATATGAGTTGTTGAGTGACCGCTCTTAGCTGGGTCAAGAGAGACAAAGGTAAAACAAAAACCAGAAAAAGAAACAAAACTTGTTCCAAGAGTTTGTGATGGAGATGGTAATTGAGGGGTAAGAGTCAGAACAGTGATCTGGCTTCCTGGAGAAAAAATAACAGGGCATTTAGAAAATGAGCAAGTATTAGCTCCCAGCACAGTGTCAGATAATAGAAAGGGACCTGAAATCTTGGGAATTTTTTCAAGCATGCATGTATTACCTATCCAAAGTAATAACTATGATTTAACAAGTAAAATAATTACAATAAAAAAAGAAAAAGAGAATTTGATTCAAAAGCCCTGTCCAAATCCTCCCTGAGCAGCTTATTCAAAAATCTGACCATGCTACCATCTGATTTTCCTCTCTGTAGAATGGGGATCATTAGCACACGCAATCAGTGTTAGAGATGGTTTGAGTCCACACTAGGGGCTAGGGATACAGAAGTGCACAAGACTGGTCCATCCTTTTTCCTTCAAGAAACTGACAATCCGCATAGGTGGAAAGGGCACATGTTGACATTGGCTGTGTAATTTCTGCTAAGAAACAGTCAAGTGTGAAGCACCAGTGGTACATACCAGAGTCAAAAGAGGGGAGCTGTTGGAGACAAGTGAAAAGAAACTAGTAAACCGATGAGAAAATGCCATGACTCAGCACAAACCAAACTTGTTTTGCAGAGCTGGGGTCACTTAGATTGAGGGGCTAACAGAAGACAGAAAGGAAAAATATTAAAATAACAGTTGCATCTGAAGAGTTAAAATGCAGAGGGTGTGGAGAGAAGAGAAGGGAAGGAGAGGAGGATAAGTGTGTATGTATGAAAGAAGAGAGAGGAGAGAAAGGACAGAGAGGGGAGAGGAGGGAAGACAAAGAGAGACGGGTCAGGGAAGGGGAAGAGAGAGAAGAGAGAGCATAGAGGGAAGTTGGCAGAGCCTAGGGAATGGAAACAGTATGGTTAGAATATGAGTCAGAGAGCTCATGGCATACGACTTACAGAGTAGTGATTCTATGTAATCACACAATCTTCTGGCAAGAATCAGATCATCTTAACGGTGCACAACTGTCCCGATGACTGTTCAATACCAAATTGTGGCATTTAACAGCATTTCAGTTGAAATCAGTCCATGTTCCTATGCGACTCAAATGATATATACTATTTCTCTCAAGGAACTTTTTATAGGACTAGGATGGTTAGGAAGATTCTACATGAGGCCGAGTATAAACAGTCACATGGGCGGGGGGGGGGGGGGGGCTTCCTTTGTGTCTGTTCTGAATGAGGAACTATAAAATGACCTTCTTTGTCTCAGGAATCACAGGGCAGGAGGGAAAAATCAAGGGCACAAAACACAAATGAGCAGTCCCTGGTATAAATCCCTGACAGTACGGGGCAGTCAGGTCAATTCCATTTGATTCGGCCTGACAACAGCTAAAGCCTTGCTGTTCCCAGTAATGAGTGCATGACGCCCTAGAGCCACGCAGCTCCTAATGGATGGGACTGGCAAGCTGCCTGCTGGGAAAACAGGGGAGCCTTCACCTCCGCCACCCCCAGATGTTTGCATCAGTGTCGCAGCACAGTCTGACGGGAGTGGCTTACAGGGACACAGAGAAAGATATCATTAGCCATGCAGTGAGTTGGAAGGGCAGAAAAGAAAACCGCTGCTCGTTGTCTGGGAGGCACATTTCCCATTTCGGGTGGGCAAGAAAGGGGTCCCGCCCCATTAGCAGTGAGTCCAGCTAAAAATATGAAAAATATGTGATCCTTTCTTTAACTCTAGTCTTCAGTGATATTCTAGTTCAACTTCCTGCATACAGAGGACAAGGAAGCCCAGTGTGATTATATTCATTCACAGAGCAAAACAAATGAATGAGTAAACAAATGAAAATTCACTGGGGGAAATCCTCCACATGGGCACATGAAGCCCTGATTTCACCTGCCCAGCCCCCTTATGGAAAGGAGAGTTTTACTTCCCATAAGGAGCAAAAAGGACAAGACACCAGGCTATATTGGTTACAGTCCTCAGTTAGGTACTACCATGCCCAGTTCTACTGCTAATTAATTAGCACCTACCCTGCCCTAATGAACTCAAGACTGATTTACTAGTGAGCAAAACAGATAAAGACCATGTCCTTCAGAAGCTTCTGGAACAATCAGAGCCTGTATAAACCTGCTAAAATTGAATATTGCCTATGCGCGTTTCTAAAAGAGAGAAAGAAATGCCATTCCTTGTAACCAAGGGGGGTTGTGGGTGTTACAAAGAGACAGATCCCACCTTCTTCGGGCCTTGGGTGAAGTTGCGAACTACCCACCCACCTCATACTGTGTCCCTCCATGACCAACCCAGCCTGTCCTGGAGGCCATGTCTGTGTCTCAGAGCAGGGCACGGGGTAGTGGACACCCGGCAGAGGTGGGAAGAAGAAAGGTCAGCGTGAAACCATTTGAACATTTCATGTCTGCGTGTCCTCAGTTTTGTGTGTCCTCACCGGCAGCATCATCTAAGTGAGTTCCGGGCCAAAGGAGAGAGTCTCTAGCTCTTTAGCTCTGTTGGAAACAGGGAAGCCGCTGGGTAAATTGAGTACCTCCACTTGGGCTCTGTCTTAAAGATAAACTGTGTCTCATTTCCTGAGGCACTAAAGAGGAGGCCTGTAAATGCATAGATGACCCGTGTGGCCCAGCATGGCTACTTATTCATCAGAGTCCTGACTTATCACCACAGGAGCTCTACCTGCCAATTGGAATGGACAAGGGTACTGAGGGACTTGCCAAATCTAACATCTACGGAGGGGAGTAAGGTGACAAGGAGGCAAGACACCCCGTTTAAGATCTGCTAAGGCCTTTTCCATCCAGCTAAGCTTCTGTTTCCCCCGAGCTTGCTCAGAAGCATCACAGAGGGGTGATGTGGGGAGCCCAGCAGGCTCAGTGCTTGAGTCAGCGATGCAGTGCTGCTCCAGCTGCCAAGGCTGCACCTGGTGTATGCCTAGGGGTCCAAGTGGTGCCTGAGATTGATCTTGGGGCTTTGCAGCCCTTTGAGCTATCCCAAAGGCTATTTTAATAGTCTTTTCAGAAAGAAAAGGTGAAAAATCTTTAAGAAAAAGCCCACAACTGAACATTAGTAAAATTTCCCTCTAAGTTTATTTGGAAAGAATTCCAATACCATACCTCTTTTCTATTCTGGAGTAGGAATGTGTATGTGCTTGTGTGATTGTGCTTGTGTGTGTGTGTGTATTGGGCCACATCTGGTGGTGTTCTGGGCTTATTACTGGCTCTGTACTCAGAGATGACTCCAGGCAGTGCGCAAGGGGGTTACCATATGCAGTTTTGGGGCTCAAACTAAGGCCTGCTGTGTGAAAGGCAAGTGCTTTATCCCAGGTACACTCTTTCCCACCCAGGGAATGTATTTTGAAAAAAAAATTTCAGCTAGAAAAAAATGAATTGAGGTCAACAATGTGCAAGGCTTACTATCTCAATGTCCTGGGAAATGGGTCTTGAAAACATTTTTTAACTAGAACACAAATGGTAATTTTTGAAAGTTTTTTTAAACTGAAGTAAAATTCACATAAAATGCTCAGATCTTAAATGGTACAAGTTGATCGGATTTGACAAATACGTACAACACACTTCTATCAATAGAGAGAGAGCATTTAATCCACTCTAAAAAATTCCCTTGTGTTCCTTTCCAGTTGATCCACTGCCAAAGAATCACTAATTTGATTCTAGTACCTGTGATTATTTTGCCTTTGGCAGTACTTCATATAAATGTGCTAAAACATAGTTTTGGCTTTTAAATATTGCTGAAAAATATAAATTGACTTTAGAAAGTCCCCTTTTCCATCCATGGAATAGGGAAATATTTTTAAGGGAACCACTTCCTGAAGGCATACACACCTGCA